TCGAATTGCATCCTAGGAGCGAAGTCATTTCTACAGGTAACCTAGTAGCTGTTTATGATGAAAAAAAATACTGCTTCAGAAAGGAAGAAAACTTGCTCAGTTCTGTTAATATCTGATTCCAAATAAAAAATGAACATCAGAATCCAAATCATTTCGACGACTGATCCGTTCATTTAGAACATACAAACAAACCGAGAACTACCATAACTTGTTCACTTACTCAACTGCCATTTTTTATCCGTGAACGCTGCCACAATTGGAGACAGTCCAGACTGAAAGGCTTTTCGTCGCTGACGCCCAAACAATTCTATTCATGTCTCTATATTGCGCGAGTTTCGCCCAGAAATGAACGCTTTCCTGTTTGCGAAGTTATTCAAGTTATGATACGTCTCATTTTCGGATTTCATTCGGGTGCCCAATTGGGTGTTCTTCTGGATATCGCTTGCATCGAAACTTTCAACGTCAGCGTCCTTCGTAGTTTCGCTGCCTGACTCACTGAGTTTTAGCCACAATGATTAATTTCGTCTACTTTTCTTCCAATCATTTGGGATCGGGTTGTAACCATTTATGCTGTACAACCTGCCTGACTATCTTGTGGGAGCTGAAAGCAACCGCTAAAGCTACTCGATTCTGATCCCACCTGGATCGGTGAGCCCGTCCAGCGCACCACAGTTAAATGGTTTTTGTACAGACACTTCAATGTCTTTGTTGCTTCAAGGTAATTATGAATAACGTGGATGTACGGTCACCGCCGCCGGAGTGTTGTATGCCTGACNTGCCTGACGTTCATCCCAATCAGCTAAATCCTCCTGCTCGTTGGTTGTTGTGCCGATGTGAACTCTTCAGACGCTTACCGTGGACCCGTTTCTATCCGATGCATTCCCGTTGAATTCAAGGGATGTTCTTTAGCGGTTCGTTGGAATATAAGGTATCCTGCTCTCCATCCGAATCCTGTTTATGGTCGTAACTATGAAACACCAGGGGAAGTTGTGGAATACCACTACCAAGGCTTGTGCTCACAGCTTGT